GAGAAGAACCCGTCCAGAAGACCTATACAATTTTTTTTGTTTTTGATTTTTTACCTGGATTACTGAGATGCATCAGGATACTCATTTCATTGTTGATTTTGACATTAAAATGATTTAAATTAACTGAAAATTTTACACTGGCTATAGTGCACATTTTACACWATTTTTGAGTGGGACCAAATATTATATGAAAGAGTTAAATTAGACTCTATAGGTGTTAAAATGACACTTTGTTTTTTACTGCTTCAGTAAAAAATGAATGTACACAAAATTATACACAAATGTGTACTATATCCTTGAAAGTCTCTTCCTCTTTTCTCTCCATGAGCTTTGTAAAATGTGTCCTTGAGGGAAGAGTGTAACCTGAAATAAAATTGTGAACTTTTATAGTGAATTCTTTTTTTTTTTTTTACCATGGACACTCTCGTGTCAGTGACGATCATGTTAAAAATACTTTCAGTCAAGACAGCTGCTTATTACAATCATTCAATAAATGCCTTGTTTTATTTGCAGTATTAGGTTAAGTCAGTGTTTCCACTCAGACACTGTCAGCTTAACACCATCATAAATCGCCCGACATAACAAATCAATTATAAAATTTGTTGCCAACACGTTTAATAACTGATTTTTTATTGATTTTATCAATTAGTTGTTGCAGCCCTACCATTAATGTCCTGTCTGCTGCGCATGTAAAGAGCCTTTTAAAGCTCTACCTACCAGGCCACAACAGAGTGTCRTCGCCTAAAGAGCCAACAGTATCCAGGGACGAAAGCATTGTTGTGGCACTCCCCTCAAACATCCTCCCTGCAGACAATAAGATCAGAGTAACAAGTTGTTACAAGCACCAAACACGGCATCTATGAACAAATAAATAAATTTAAAAAAACAAGTTTGTTGACCCTGTTAGAAAAGATTAGCAAAACAAGAACACGTCTTTRTTCCTCAGCTTTTCTGGGGGCGTTTAATATATTTAATGATGCTATTAACCTGTTAACAGTTTACCCAAATGACTTTAATTTCATTTTGTGTGTATTAAACAGTTCACTATGGAGCCGGTCTTTCATCGCTTTTTGTACCGACTTGTTGAATTTCAGTTGAAGCAATCATGATGAAGAGCATCAAAGAAAGGAAAAGCAAAGGAAGGAAGCCAAGTTTTCTCATGAGATATACAGATTCTAGCCTTGAAGCCTTTAAAWAATGAAAATAATACTTCTTATTTAAATAAACTGGATACGTGCTATGTAGCTTTACCTTTTTTTCTTATAAATATAGCTTCATGTCTTAGTTTATTATCATTTGACAGAATACTCAGAATCAAACAGCAAATATTTAGGATTCTGTGCACACCTTTGTTCTTGAGTTGTGTAAATCAAAACTCGTTTACACAAATAAATCACAAAAATTGCTGCAAAACCCACCACATCCTGAGAGGAACACCAGGTCACCAGAGAACAGGCTGGAGGGAGCGCCGACCGCTTGGCCATCCAGGAGGTAGATCGTGTGACCCACCGTGTGTCCRGGAGTGAAAAGCGCCTTGAAGTGCAATCGACCAACTATCACAGAGTCTTTGTGTGAGAGAGGGCTGGGAAAGGGGAAAAAAAATTGAAATCATGCCATACTGATCCCAGGAGAGCAGCACGAGTTAACAGAACATTTCAGTACGTCGGACGAGATCTAAAAATAAATATGTCTAGCTTATATTGAGGCCTAAATTGTAAATAAATAAAAAAACAAACTTGAACAAAAGACAAACATGTAAGTGAACATTACAAAAAATAAATGTCATTTATTGAGAAGTCAGCTGCTACAACAGCTGACAGCGGGAACAAGACGAGACTCATTACAGTAAAAATAAAAATTTAAAAAACTGCTGCCTTTTTGTAAACTGGAGCTTACTGTGTGAGACCAGGTATGTTATCAGCTGCGTTTCCATACACTCGACATGAGCTGTGGATCTTTTTCAGCCCTTTGTTGCCACCACTGTGGTCCCTGTTTGTAGAAGAGAGAGCAGAGGATCCACGTTTTTACCAACACATCTGAAAGTTTCATTTAGGTTACAAGACTGAGCTTTTAGAATAATTAAAAACGCCTTTTGTAYAAATACAAGAAACTAATTCATGACTATAACAACGGTCTTATACACTCCATCATGACAAACTCTTAACACAAAGCGCACATAAAAAATATAATAAAAGAGTTGGACTCACCAGTGTTTGTGTGTACATAAGACAGCCTCTAAAATGACTCCTTCTTCTTCAAGGACTGCCTGAAAAGTAACAAAGAACAATGTTACCCTTCATTCCCTATACAAAATCAGCACCTCAAAAAATACTGTRAAAAAAACTTATATAGAGCAGCAAAACACCTCAGAATAGACTATTTTTTAAACAATGAACACTGTTGAGGAATAGCCAACAGGATGCGCTAATTAGCAAACGCACAGCTGCAGCAGAGCTTCAGAGACCAGAATTAAACAGTTTAAACAGTTTAAAAAGTTATCTGCATTCATGCGTCTACATCAATATGAACAAACTTGTCCTTGACATGTACTTGCAGCAGTATTGATGAGGTTAAMTTAATACAGGCCTGCAGCAAAAAGGAAAAAGCAGCAAACACTCCTGACTTCTAAAGAATTTTTTGCGGAATTTAAAAAAAAAAAGCTGAATTAACTCTTAATAGTGCCAACGTGTGATGGCAGACAGCTTTGAATGATTGTGGGGAAACAGCTTTAGACTCTAAAATATATATCTTTGACAAACTTGCATGAGATGCGGTCAACAAAGGGACTCACCTGAACTTTTTGAGGGTCAGCAGGGTCTACAACCACCGCAACACTAGAAGATGTGTCAATTATAAGATAGCTGTAGTTGTCAGACAGCACAGAGATGGGGATTATCTTAATACCTGTGGGCAAAAAAAAAAAAAAAAGATAAAAGGAGTGCACACGGTTTTTTTMATCTATCTGCTAAATTCTAATATTTAAACCTAGATGTTGCATACCATTGAACTCCATGGGATAACAAGTGGTGTGTCCAGCTGGATGAGTTTCTCTGGCTTTTCTCATCTGTCTCTTGTAGTACATATATCCCAGCCTGGTTCGTGTGTAAAGGGTGTATCTAAAAGGGGAAACAAAACACAAGGCTTAATTATTAATCCTCAGTAAGATGAATGAAAGACAACAGCAACATGCTGCACAGTTAGCATGTTTTGATGAGAAGTAGACTATCTGCACATACAGATTGCAAATTAAACTACATGTAAACAAATTTGTACTAATAAGCAAATCAATTTTGTAACTATTATCCGTTTAAGAAAAGGCCTTGCAGCAGAATTTCAAAAATATTAGAACCACCAGGATAGACTAATATGAACACTATTAGCTAAATATGCTACAGAATCGATGTAAACGTAAAATTAGAGGCTTATTTGTGCACTCACGCGATTCGGAACAACGGTTTCTCCGTCCGGGCCATTATCTTCCTCCACAATTTGCTCCAGAACACTTGTGCGGTCCGTCTGTATCTAATACACAAGGCTAAGAAGCAGAAAAAAGATGCAGTGGCCACCAATGATAAMATCCAGTCAGGAAACGCCATGGCCAGCGTGAGCCAACGTGATGACGATTCACACGTCCGCCAATGAGAGCTGAGCGTTTAGATTGGATCGCGGTGGCGTTTGAGGACACCTCGGAGAATCGGAAATGTAGCACAGTAATGATGACAGCACTAATTGCTTTCCACCAATTAAATACAGTATTGTAAAAAAAAAAACCTAATATTAGTAAAAAGAACAAGTTTGACAAGTTCTCTGAGAAATACAAAGTGGGTTAAAATAGTATGCTTGTTAAGTAAACAGTAAATTCCTGTTGAAATGACACATTTGAAAGCATATAAATTTCAACATTGTATATATATA